GCTACCCGCGTTTCCGTTCTCGCGACCTTCATCAGGCAAAGAGTGGATATTTCCACATATTATTAAAATGAATTAATTTTTCTTATGTTTTTCGATGTTAAGAATTCTCGATGCTAAACATCCTCTTTTTTGTGTGAGTGACACAAATGTCTTCCACACAAATGGCAATAAGAAAGTTCTTCAGCTTGAAGGGTAATAAAACAAGTAAGGCTACTCCATTAAAGGGTAAGGAAATATATCTGTATTCTTATATTTTAATGACCCCTGTGTGTTCTCGGATCTATTCTCATTTTTTTGTACTGTGTGTGCTTTTGTCAGCATGCGTATGTATTCGTATATTCCCTCTCCATACATACATACATAAGCTTTTTTTTTTTTATATATATATATATATATATATATATATATATAAAAGAAAAGCTGGAATTTTACATATGCATTTGTTTACCACCATTCTTGCCTATCTATCCTTACTTGTTCGATCTATCTATACCTGTCTTCCTATACCGGCATCTGTCACTGACTGCATGCCTCTCTGTCGCTTTCCTTCTTAAATGGTAAATATTGGTTTTGTTACCCGTGCGTTAATAACCCTTAAAATTATTCCAAAATCGACATAATTCCGTGCAAATGTACATGCTGAACTCGAATTAACAATTAATTTATGAAGAAACCTTACCGTTTTGGAGTTATCGACAAGAAAAAAAAATCGGACTTCTTGTTGGTCATTCGTCCTCCATTACTGCCATCATGAATCTCTACACCGGCGTAATAAGAAAATTTGGCCTATTTACTTCTTTTACAGACTTTCCTTGCAGAAAATCACTACGCACGGGTAACAAAACCAATATTTACCTTTTTACTTCTGTTTATAAATATGTTTGTTTTGATTATGTCTATCAGAGGACGAAACGCGTTGGTAAAGGAAAGTTTTCCTTTTGTCTTTAGCTATATTGTATGTTTTTATGCTATATTTTATCTATATCTGAATTTTTAGATATAATCGTGTAAATACATTAACATTTTAATCACGTATGGAATTCAATCCACGCTTGAAACGTTTCTATATATAGGCGCGTTATATATTTATATTTTTTTTTAGTCTGTAAGCGACACTTTATTTTATTTATTTTGAACCAGTCTTTTACGAAACTGCCATCAAAACAGAACAAAGGAATTCCTGAAGTCTCTGGTTAAAAGGATATCCTGGCATATTTTATGGGTTCCATTTGCCTATTCTTTTCCTCGCTATTTGCTGGGGATGATCGTGCAGTCCGTTGGCTACCAGACCGTACGCTGATTTAGCCCCTCTGATAAGTCGTTCCACCGATGAAGTCTTCGAATCACGCACAGGCACCGGTCCTACTGTGCCATTATCATGCGTCGGAATCACTTTTGTCAACGATCTAATAAGGTCTTTTGTCGACGTGTCGAGATTAACATAATTCAAATATAAGGCTCTGAGAAACTTTTTGTATAATGAAATATCTTATGTCACGCACCTTGTATATATATATATATATATATATATATATATATATATATATATATATATATAGTCATCCACATACAAGCCTTTTCTCTGATCAGTGTGGCTAGACATCCGATTGCTTCAAGCAGGGATCGAAACACACACAGAGACTTCCAGCAAAGAATGGAGAACGCAGTCTGTTTTAATTGATGTGATTTATTTGTATAATGGCATATCAATTCCTTATGCGCCATTTAATACCGAAATTTAATTTTTTGGAGAGCTTTGAAGTAATAAATATATATGTTATTATGCTTCCACAATTGAATACATGGTAGATGATACTCAGATTTTGTGTATATATAGCTGTGTGTAGACATAATTATGATATAGTGATATGTGTGGTTTATATTGTAGTTTTTTTGAAGTTATATTTTCGTATACAGTTTGATTTAAGAAATTGTAGGATATTCTATGGAATAATGTTACGAAAGTGTTTCTTTCATGTTGGTTGGTTGGCTAATTCCTTTTGTTTAGCGGTATGTCAACCCGTACGGCTTATTTAAAACTAAATATTTTGAACACAATTTTATGGCTTCAACTAAATATATTTTGAATAAAGTTGTATACCTTCAACTACAGATAAAATAGTTAGTTATTTTAATATAAATAGGTAATTTTGGTAACTTTTTATATAAAAATATATTTCTGTTATTTTCACTGTAAAAAATATATTTTTAGACTTTCATAGTGTTTTGTTTTTCTTTGGGGATTCACTATTTGCGCATAGATGGACCCTAACATCTGCTATCACCAAGAGTCAAAGTGGACCTTGGAACAGCATCAACTAAAAAGTGGTTCCATGCTCCTCAAGACCTCGAATAGCCTGATTAGTTTATTGTCATACCCATGACTGTCGTCTGTTTTAGACATATGACTGATTGCAAGATGGTTCATAAATGACGCAATGGAATGAATATGGTTGCAACACAGACTGTAGATGATGTAAGAGGTGCAGTTAATTGGGGATATGTGAACGACGATTACAGTTATATGATCTGCTGTAGATTTGGATCGAAGTTGTCTTATAATATGTCCAATGCTATTTATTTTCTTATTTCTGTTCGATAAATTTTGACTACATTGCTCATTATCATGAATGAAATATCGTCAATGTCATAGGCATGAATTAGTTAGCGACATTCTTGGTTTTGTTCTATATTACATTTCAAATATAAATATGCGTATCTCGTATAGAAGAAGAAGAAGAAGAAGAAGAAGAAGAAGAAGAAGAAGAAATGGGAGACGAAGAAGGATGAGGAAGAGGAAGAAAGAGGAACAAAAAAGAAAAGAAGAAAGAAGAAGAAGAAGAAGAAGAAGAAAAGAACAATAAAGAAGAAGAAGAAGAAGAAGGAAGGAGAAGAAGAAGAAGAAGAAAACGAAAATAAGAAGAAGAAGAATGAAGAAGAAGAAGAAGAAGAAGAAGAAGAAGAAGAAGAAGAAGAAGAAGAAGAAGAAATGGAGAGGGAGAAGAACAAGAATAAGAAGAAGAGGCACAGAAGAGAAGGAAGAAGAAGAAGAAGGATGGGAAGAAGAAGAAGAAGAAGAAGAAGAAGAAGAAGAAGAAAAGAAGAAGAAGAAGAAGGAGAAGAAGAAGAAGAAGAAGAAGAAGAAGAAGAAGAAGAGGAAAGAAGAAGAGAAGAAGAAAAGAAAAAAGAAGAAGAATGGAAGAAGAGGAGAAGAAGAAGAAGAAGAAGAAGAAGAAGAAGAAGAAGAAGAAGAAGAAGAAGAAGAAGAAGAAGAAGAATGAAGAGGAAGAAGAAGAAGAAGGCGGACAAGAAAGAAAAGAAGTAGAAGAAAAGAACTAAAAGAAGAAGAGCGGAAAGAATAGAAACAATAATGGGCGGGGGGAGGAGGATAGGTAGAAGCGGAATGTGGAGAGGATGAGAACGAAGAAAATAATAAGAATAAGAATGAGAGGTACAGGAGTAGAGGAAGAAGAACAAGAATGGGAGGTGCAGTAGGAGGAAAAGACGAACTAAAATGTGAGAAGGTGGAGGAGGAGTAACAGGAACAAGAAGAGAGAATATGGGTGGGAATGGGGAGAAGAAAAAGAAATAGGAGGATGAGAACGAAGAAGAAGAAGAAGATATTTCTGGCAGATACATACATGTTCATTACTCCATATAGTAATTATTATAAAACAAATAAAATAATCATATCCCGAATTCAAAGAAAGATTATGGGACTTTCAAAAGATTTCACAATATATAGTTTATGACGTAAAAAAATGCAAGCAGATATATAAAGTGTCGTGCTGAGTTCTATGGTAATTCAATCCAATGATATCTTCGCACTAATGACCCCTTCAACAACATTTTTAGTTGTGTTTTTAATAAATAAAAATTTTCGAATCAAGAAGTCTAGACGTTTAACTGAATGAGATTTTTTTTAATTCTTTGCCTTTCTTTAAATCCGTTTTCAAAGAATACTTCACGACAATAAGTGTTTAATTAGAGCAAAAGTGACACAATCACGATGTGTATTACCTTTTGGCGACCAGATAAAAAAAAAATGGCGGCTTGCAATCTCATCAGCGCGTACGGTGAATGGCGGGAAACAGGATTAGACTCAATTTTGGTTTTGATAATTTTTTTTGTTAATTTTTCTTTGAAACAACTGAACCGTAAGGGGTCTAAGGTAAACTTGGTGATTTAATAAACTTAAGTAACTTCTTTTTTCTATTTAATTAGCATTGTCATTTTTATTAATAAAATTAAAATAAAAACGAAAGGTAATTCTGAATTATAAATATTTCCATTGATTCGTAATTTTGTATTTTATGAATATCACTCCTCCTTATTTTCATTTCCCTCTCACAACAGTTTTGATTCATTGACTGATATATTTTCTACGGCTTATCAATCATTTGCAGGTTATTTAAAGCCAGAAAATATTTTTAGATTGCAAGAATTGGGGGTGGGAAATAATAATGATATCAGGGATACAAATCTTGATAATTAATCTATGCCTGGAGAGAGAAGTGGCAACCTGATCAGAATTTGATAAACAAACAAGAAATTATAAACTGGGGGATCAATTCTATATTATAATCAATGTATATACTAATCCCCCAATTTGTAGCCAGTGTAGTTTCCATATATTTCCAGAGAATCTAAGTCAATCTAAAAACATGACTGTGTAGCTAATCAGTATTTCATTGATTGATTCTTTTTCTATTGCTTATCAACCATTTGCAGGTTATTTAAAGCCGGGAAATATTTTTAGATTGTAAGAAATTTTGGGGAGATAATAGTTATTTACTGATACAATTCTTACTAATTAACCCATAACTGGGGGAAGATCAATTCATACCTAATCAGAATTCGATAAACAAACAAGAAATTATAATGTGGATATAAAGTGAGGGGTGAATAATTCTATATTGAAATTCAATATAAAAGCTGATCTTCCCACTTTGTAGCGAGGAACTTTCTAAACACTTATATCCTAGAAAATGTGACTAACAGCCAAATCACGTTGAAACATTGATTCCCGTACGATCACCGAAATTAAGCAACGTCGAGTCGGGTCAGTAGTTACATGGGTGACTGCTTTGGAATAACAGGTGCTGTAAACGTGCGAGTGGTGTAATAATGGGTTGGCATTGTTAATCAGAGAGCCGGGTTCCAATTCCGTTGGTTTTTTTTTTTTATAATCAAATAGTCCAAATACGCTTGAGAAAGATATGAATCCACCTCTTCTTCCCAACTATGGGTTAATTAGTAAAATTTGTATCTCTAAATCATTATTATCTCCCTCCTCCAAATACAATTTAAAAATATTTTCTGGCTTTAAATAACCTACAAAGGGTTGATAAGCTGTAGAAAACAAATCAATCAACCCAAAGAAATTAACTGAATCTACAAGACATGCGTGTGTAGCAAATCAGTATTTCATTGATTGATAGAATGTTTCCTTATCAAGCGTTACGTAAAACCAGGAAATATTTTTATATTATAAGAAATTTTTGAAGATAATAATAGTTTTAGTGATACAAAGCTTACTAATTAACCCATAGTTGGGGAAGAAGCGATGGATTCATAACTTTCTCTAGGGTATTGGCGCGTAAATGAATATAACGAATCCAACGTGAGTTGGAACAAGGTTCTCCGATTAACAATTCCGAGCCATTATTAATAACACCACCCGCACATCCAAGACTACCCCACTGATATGCCCAAACATTCACTACGATCGGTGTGTAGTATGCGAGTGAAGCCTGGAAATAACATAAGGTTGAAATTGAGTTTAATATCAATAAGGAAAACTGTGTTCTAAGAGAAGTTAATCTGTGGTGGCCTTGATATGTACTGAATTCACCTTAAGAGATTCCAAAGTAGACTAGTTTTTAGGCTCTGTCACACCACAGGATCAGCGGAGAGAGACGCACCAGAGAGCTGACCTGGAAGTTGATCTCGTAGCCAACAGTTAACCGACCCATTTGCGCTTAGGGAATGTACGCGAGGGGCAACCATATGCGAAAAAAATGTAAACGTCATTTTTGTAATAGGGGCAAAACACGACGATTTCAAAATTAGAAATATAATAACTGTTGAAGCTTTTTAAACATAAAGTTCGGATGTCGTTTGAAGCCTCTGGGGAAAATGTTTCAACGGGACCCAAAGAAAAAAAATTTGTAAAGATTCGGAAAAAAATAAGCATACCGCAATTCATCCATCGGGTTCATTGAGAGCCAACGCTAAGAAACCTCATGTTCCGGGGTAGGTTAATTATGAGCCTGAAGACATTCGATATAAGTAATATGTGATCAGGAGAAGGCAATTAATATTTGCAAAGTCACAGGAAAACGTATGATCCGTGCCAAGCGTTTAGTTAACAAAATGTTGTAGAGTGAACGCAAAGTTTGTTTTATTTTTTTTTTCCCGTATGAATCCAAAATACGTTCGTCGCCAAGTGTTGTATATGGCGAAACGATTTTTTTTTTCTCTTTAAATTTTTTTCCATATGAATTTCGAATTCTGGTCGCCAAAGTTGTTATAGAGTGAACGAAAACTTTTTCTTTTCCCGTATGAGAAACGAATTCCTCGTCGCCAAATGTGTTGTAGAGTAGTTTTCACAGTGGAGGCTTGTATTTCGCTAAGTCTGTCGAAAAAGGGTCCGACGTACAAAACGTTAGGAACTTAGAAATAATAGTTAATGACGCAGCAATCTAGTTGTGATGGTTGATACTTCAATGTCCGACATCGACTGACTCACTCAACTCCACTGAGCTCCACTGGCCACTGTAACTACTACTAATTATCTGTTGGAGAGTCTATTACAATAGAATAGGTAGTGTTCTGGTATAACACAAAGTTAAAATATCCTTTACGGACACATAACGAGGAAAGGGGCTGGGAGAATTAGACACTCATAAGACGCTGAATGGAAGAGGAGCCGAGGAAAACAGAAAATAACATACATAACTAGCTTGTGCAAATGGATGGCATACCAGGAATTAAGAGTGATAACAGAAATACCTACAAAATATAGAAAGTTGTGGATAACCATGCTACGTGTGAGTGTCATTTTCGTTTCTATTTTCGCTTGAAACTTCATTGTTTCACACGTGTACAGTCCATGATATTCCCAGCATCCTTCTGAAGAACCAGCTATCTGTTGTTTTGAGTCTCTTTCTCCATCTGTCATAAGATGGTCTGCCATGTAGAAGAATCGATATTACATAAAAGATTACTCTTCTACTTGTTTCTTTTCTATAATTTCCCAAGGATGGGGAGGTTCATCTAGCACTTATTATAAAAGAGGCAATTATTCTTATTTAAATGTTCATTGTCAATTCTCCTTATACTCTAATAATGATGCCAAGAGAAACAGCGTCTTCTTGACGCTTTGTCTTCTTGACGCTTTGTTCTCCTGACGCTTTCTCCGTTTGACTTCTTGTCTTATTGACGCTTTTTCATCTTGCCACTTTGTACGCTTGACGCTTTGTCCTCTTGACACCTTGTCCTCTTGACACATTGTCCGCTTGACGCTTTGTCTTCTTGACGCCTTATCCTCTTTACGCTTTTTCATCTTGCCACTTTGTCCGCTTGACGCTTTGTCCTCTTGGCACCTTGTCCTCTTGACACATTTTCCGCTTGACGTTTTGTCTTCTTGACGCCTTGTCATCTTCACACTTTCGTCCTCTTGTCGCTTTGTCCGCTTGACGCCTTGTCCTCTTGACGCCTTGTCCGCTTGACGCTTTTTTATCTTGCCACTTTGTCGGCTTGACGCTTTGTCCTCTTGACACCTTGTTTTCTTGACACATTGTCCGCTTGACGTTTTGTCTTCTCGACGCCTTGTCCTCTTCACATTTTGTCCGCTTGACGGTTTGTCTTCTTGACGCCTTGTCCTCTTGACGCCTTGTTCTCTTGACACATTGTCCTCTTGACACGTTGTTCTCTTGACGCTTTGTCCTCTTTATACTTTGTCCTCTAGACGCTTTGTTCTCTTGATGCTTTGTCCTCTTGACGAGTATATTTGTTAAACTTTTCCCATATTTTAATCTGAGTAAATTTTCTGTGTACCTTTGAATTTCAAATAGGTTGGGATGATTATTCTTTGTTAAAAAAAATTCTACATAGGCATCCTTATTCTAGCGTTAAATTATAATCCTTAAGTTTTGACGAAATACATTATCCTTTTTATTTCACTAAATATATCACAATATGAGCAAATGACAGAATTGTTTATGTTAGTCATCTCATAAATACATTATAATTGTTCTCAAATGTCATAAATCATTTTAAATAAATGCAGTTGAAAATGTGTGAATATAGGTTCAAAATAATAATAATAATAATAATAATAATAATAATAATAATAATAAAGATCTGATATTATAAAAGACAAGACATTCAAGAAGTGTATGCTTATTGACATAGCAGTACCATCCGAGAGAAACACCTCCATAAAAATTATCGACAAATTGTCCATATACAAAGACTTGGGAATCCAGATTAACACGATGTGGGGAATGAGACTGTATCAATAGTAACCGGAGCTTTGAACCTCATGACAAAATGATTGAACAATTTTACTGTTCTACCTGTGTCCTAGGTAAGATCAACATACAAGTTGCCCCCAAAATCGCCGTACTTGGAACATCGCATATACTAAGAAAAGTGCTACCAATTAAATGACAATTCTCCTAAAGAGCCTAAGGACAACAGTTTGGACTCGGGTCTACAGGATACAAAGCAGGAAACATAACATACACAAATAATAATAATAATAATGCTTTCTTAATAATCATGGCAGTCCCTGAATATTGTAATGTATCTTTGAAGATCTTCAAAAAAGCCGTCAAAATATAAGGATCTTGAAGTGGAAATCTAAAAAAAATGTGGACATCATTTTACAAAAATGATCAGTGAAAAATGTCATGAAGTCTCAATAGTATTGAAAAATGAAAATGTTTAAATTTAAATTTTTTTCATTATCAACTCTTATAATAGAAATATAATAATAATATATATACATATACACACACACGCACAAACACACACACATACACACACATCTATATCTATCTATCTATATATATATATATATATATATGTGTGTGTGTGTAAAAGTGAACATTGAAGTCACAGCTTAGAGGCGACAGTCTGTTTCATGCTAGACGCTGTCATCAGGCCTGACGATTACGTCTAGCTTGAAACAGACTGCCGCCTCTAAGTGTTGACTTCAATGTTCACTTTATATTTACACACGCTCTATCTCTGATATTTACCACTTTATCACATAAATATAGCACACCTTAAAAGTATATTTCTTCAGATATATATATATATATATATATATATATATATATATGATAGATAGATAGATAGATAGATAGATATGGTGTGACAATGTTTCCTTATCTTTCTTAGGCCAGACGTTCAGATCGTCTCATTAATTATATCAATAATGTAGTACCAAATATTCAAATTAGTATTTTAATTACTCATCTTCAGGTAGAATTGGAATTTAAATTCGAGTTTTATGGTCGAATTTTCATCACTTCACCACGACATTTTGAATATGGCTCAGATTTCCTATAAATTTCTTGTTAATAAAAGCACAATACAAGCAACGACATTCCAACGAGAAAGGGAATTACTGTTATGTTCACTTGCCACATTTCCGATACATTCACCTCGACATTCTTGCATTTTGATAGTTTTTTGAAGATCTTCAAAGCTACATTGCAGTCTTCATGGACTTCCATATCCATCAGAAAGAGCATTTTGTTTTTGTGGTCTTTGATCACTATGCCTACGTGTTCTGTTTGTGTGCATCGCATAGTCCCATGAAATCGTTACAGATCCTGTCTGTAACCGGGTCTGTGTGGTCTTCGTACCAATCTCTTGCATTTTCTCTTTGTTATGTTCAAGATTTTCCAGTACAACCCACCCTATCATGCGGAATTTTATATTCGATAGATGTTAATACCGTGCAATCTGATACAATATCTTCAAT